TCCCCTTTCCCCACATCCTCTCCAACTTTTGGTATCATTTGTTCTCTTGATCTTTGCCAGTCTGACTGGGTGAGATGAAATCTTAGAGTGGTTTTAATTTGTGTGCCTATGATTTCATTGACTGGATCATTAAAAGAATGTCTCCTTGGGGACCCAAGGTCCTCCTCCTCTGGTCTGTTTGTGTCCTGTTTTGCTGGTGACCCTGCATAGACACAGCTTCATCTTTGGCTTCAGTCACTATCTTATGTATTCATGACCTTTGGATATACTGTTACTTATTTAGATCTGTACCCTGGACACTAGCTGTTGGATCTTACCAGTGGCATATGCCATGCCCCTTCCATCATCTTGATGAGAGGGATATAAACTTTCATTTGTTCAGATCTAAAATGCTAACTTGAGACTCACAGTCAGTCTGCTTTGACATCAGGAGAATGTAACCCACAGGCTGACATTGGCAAGATCTATGGAAGGTAATAATGTTAAGAACGACATTTCTCTGAAAGAATAGAAGATTTCAAGTGTCTAGTTATGGATCAGGAGGTAAGAACACTTGCCAGGCATGCATATGGACCTGAGTTCAAAGGTCAAGAACCCACATGAGAAGCTGGGAGTGATTGCATACATACCTGTCATTCCAGTGCTGTGTGAGGTGGAGACAGGAGGATCAGTGAAGTGTGCTCACCAACAGTCTAGCATCAGGTTTAGTGAGAGGCTCTGTCTCAACAGTGCAGGATACCTGCCATCCTCCTCTGACCTCTGCACACGTGTGCAAAGGCACATGCACCTGCATGCACATACACCACACACATACATCACCCCCATAAATAATGAAATAAATAAAGCTTCCCATGATACATTTGTGCCTTACCGAATCAGTCATTTAGGAAGTTTGTGATGAGGGTTGACCCTTTGATTTCACTGATGAATTCTGCTTTCTCTTTTCACTGTAACACAGATAGCCTTTAGAGAGCAGATCTTCCCTCACAGAAGGTCATGAGGGAAAACATTTCACAGTGTGACAATGAGAATTGCTGGAGTTTGTATTTACTTATCATTGAGACGGAATAAAATGGAATTTTCCTTTTTATGTTTCCTATTTCTCCCATGAATGATGGTGTTCTTGGATGTCTTTGCTGACTTCTGGTCACTGTCATCACACTACAGTAATATCTGTTTTTAAAAAGTGTAGAATTGACTAAAATGTATGGGTTTTGATACAGTGCAAGAAATTTTTATTATGGAGATGTGGTGCTGAGTGCATGCACTCCAAAGTTAGCACTCCAGAGACAGAGGCAGAAGGATCCAGGGGGATCAGGAGTTCAAGGCCAATCTCCACCACAGAGTGAGTTCACGGCCAGTCTGGGCTATACGAGACCCTATTGGACAGAAAAAAGATATTTTTTTATTACTAGAAAAAATTAATTTATAGTCTAAAGGTACATAGACTTGCAATGCTGGAGAATAACCATATGTTTTGATATTAAAAAATAAAAGGAAAATATAAAACCTCACCTAAAATGACTTGAATCTCCATGACCTCTAGCCCCTATAGTAGATGTTTACCAGTGTAGATTTATTAATTTCCAAAGTCTACAACACAGTGAGTCATTGCTTAGCAAGGAGAAGATAAAATGTCATTGTGTTTCTTAAGAGATTTGGAAGATACACCAGTTCCCTCCTCTGCCTTTTGTTTTCCCTGTTCAGGGAATCTTCCCCGATCCCTCTATCTCTACCCTTTATCCATGCCCTCTTTATTGTGCATAGCATTGTTTACTACAGTTTTCTCTCTTGATTTATTTTCAATACTTTTTAAATATTCTCAAGGCCCAAATAAGTAAATAAATTAGGCGCTGGCCCTAAGCAGCAGCAAGTTTAGCAACACCGCCCCTAATGCAGAGATGACTCCCTATGGCCAGTCTGAAACCTCACCTTCCTCTCTCCATCTTCCTGGTTCATTCTCCAGAAGTTACTGGTCAGAAAAAGGAGGCCATGTGCCTCAAAAAGCTGACCCCACTGCAAGCATTACCCCATTTACCTCTGACTCAGCAAGCATGGTTTAATCAGTGCTGAAAACAGGAAATTAACGAAATGCTGTCCATTGAAAAGAATCAATAAAGCAAAAAAATTGCATCATAATTGTTGAATGTCAAAATGATAAGAGAAAACAGGACTTATCTACATCCAGTTCATCTCCCATTGATACTGGACACACTGAGTACCCTGGCTTTATCCTGAGACGCCTGGTTCAGACATAACCCTGCCCTTTATCCTGAGATGGCTGGTCTAGACTTAACCCTGCCCTTTATCCTGAGACGGCTGATCCAGAAGTAACCCTGTCCTTTATCCTGAGACGGCTGGTCCAGAAGTAACCCTGCCCTTTATCCTGAGACAGCTGATCCAGAAGTAACCCTGTCCTTTATCCTGAGACGGCTGGTCCAGAAGTAACCCTCCCCTTTATCCTGAGACAGCTGAACCAGAAGTAACCCTGTCCTTTATCCTGAGACGGCTGGTCCAGAAGTAACCCTCCCCTTTATCCTGAGACAGCTGTACCAGAAGTAACCCTGTCCTTTATCCTGAGA